CAGGCTGGAGTGTAGTGGCACAATCTTGGCTCACTGCAATGTCCACCTCCTGGGTTCAAGTGATTCTTCTGCCTCAACCTCCCAACTAGCTGGGACTATAGGTGTGTGACACCATGCCAGGCTATTTTTTGTATTTTTTCCAGTAGAAACAGAGTTTCACCACATTGGCCAGGTTGGTCTTCAACTCCTGACCTCATGATCCACCTGCCTCAGCCTCCCAAAGTGCTGGGATTATAGGTGTGATCCACTGTGCCTGGCCTGGTGCCCAGCGTGGTGCTCGAAGAAACTCTTAAGTGGTATGATACGATAATTATGATTCTGCTGCTTGCTACTGGTTAGTCACTGTGTACTATTTCAGGTGGAAAATAAAGAGCTAAATGATTTATGTTTATAACATAAATGGTTCTATGGCAAAATGGACATTTTGACTAATACAGGTTAAGAATTGTGAGCTTCAGTAGAGGATGCTTATAAATATGTGTAGGAAAGCAAAACTAAAAAAAAAAAAATCATGACTTACCATTTCTTAAGAAAATAGAAATAGGAGGTTAGTAAGAGAAATCATCCCCTGATTTTATTTAATCTAGTATTAAGACTAGTGTGTTCCTGTCTCAGGAACACAGAACTCCTGCAGTTCTGTGTTTAGAACTGTTACTTTCTATTTTAAATTATAAAACAAAAGTAAAGTTTTTATTGTTTTACTCTTGCTATTAAAAAGAATTCCAGAATAATGAGGGTAAAAGACTTTTTAAAAAATACAGATTCCATTGCCGATTCATCAGAGTTCCCAGTGGCACTTTCTTAGTGTGTGTTGGAATGTGTGGTGCACGTCGCAGGAATCTTTAGGGTGTCAGTGTGGCTTACTCTGAGCTCAGTTGTGCAGTTATGCAAAAAAACATGACAGCCAGCACCAAGGAAGTGCTTCACTGTAGAAATAACACTATTTTTTTTTTAAGTAACATGAGTTATTGTGGTAGTTATGATATTACTGGAATTGAATTTTCATGCCTGGCTTTAACAATAATCAATACGGCTTTGTGTTAGAATGCCTGACTTCTCAATTGTTTGACACTGATAGTGCTATGGGTGTAAAGCTATTGGGAGGTTTTGTTCTTGTTAGCATTATTATTGTTTCATGGAATGTTAAGAAAGTAAAGCAAAGCTTGTGCTGTGATACTGTTAATTGGTATCCGGAATAAGCCATCCTGTTATCAGCTGCTCTCTACCCTTTCTGCTTTCCGTTTCTGCTTATTGCACATCTTAATTAAACACCAGATATTGTGCAGATGAATTAAGACTCTGAGTCTCGAGATCATAGACTGGGTGACTGAAGAAGGAGAAGAAAGGGCAAGAATTTATAGATTTTTATCTAGTACTTAACTACTTGAAAAAAAGGTATAGAGAGGAAGGAGTTCTGTGTTCCTGAGACAGGAGGGCGTGCCAGAGCACCTGTTGTTCGGCTGAGACAGTGCCTCCCTCACATCCCTGTTGTCATGACAGGAGTAGAGAGATGTCCACAGAACTCACTGTGATCCCGGCAGGCGGCCTTCCCCTTCCTGCCCTGCAGCACGCAGACAACCCCCTGCCCTCTTCTTTGGGACCCTCAGGACTAATGGGTACATTTTGTCCACCACTCCTCTTTATCATGGTCAGCACATGGAGCCCAGAACATCCAGGTTCCTTGCACCCTGGACTGCCCCCGTGTCTCTATACATCCCATTTCTGACCTCATTTTCCACTTCCCTCTAGCTCCTGAAACTTTCTGCTTGTGCTATTCGGAACTGAGAGTTAACTCACAAACAAAACCCTTGTATCTTCAACTGCCATTTTCTTGCTCAAAGAAACTTGGCATGCATTCCTGCCACCCACTCATGGGAGGGCTCACTTCTCCCCACACCCCTCATTTGCTGGTCCTGGAGCTAGAGTAGGTACCCTCCTGTTCCCTTTTACTGCTCTCCAGCACTTTGGATCTCATGTCATATAGAACATCACCAATTCCTGTCGTTTGCTCACCTCCCAGGCCTTTTCTACTTCCCTCTAGAGGATTTTTGCTCCTCGTTTCTAATCCTTCTCTGATTCTGTGCCTTTTTCATGGTGATTTTGTGTCTGTGCGCATGTCTTTCCCGTCACTCTGGGACACTCCTTGCCTGTCCCTGTGGTAGCCTGCCTCACCCGCTTGTGCCTGTGACATAACCCACTCGAGCTCTTCTGCATAATCTTACAGTCAAGCATCCTACTCCACCTACCACTTCTTCTTTTTCCACATCACTTCTTCTAGTACTCCCAGTTCCTACAGTTATTCATTGTGGAGATTTAACATGCCCTGACCCTAACACCTTTTGTCACCCCATCATTTCCCCATCCCCCGACTTCCTTGCACAGTTCACATTCCTGGGCTGTTGTTAGAATCAGTCCCCTGCAAACACTCTTAGCCCCCTATGGTGGTCTCACTGTATTGTACTGGATCCAGCGAAACCTGAGCCTTCATTCTGCTTGCCTTTCCCTGTTCTGTGCTCCCACTCCTCGGTGGCTGACTGACCCACCTGCCTGGCCTTCCTTTGTATCTGTGACCAATATCCTCAATTAACTTTACATTCTCCAGGATCACTTTGTTCTGTCTTCTTTCCTCAGATCTTGACCATCCTTACTCTCCATTGATGACCTTGTTTTCTGTTTTCTTAAGAAAATAGAAGCAATCATAAGAGAATTTTCACAAGCTTTTTCCTTCATGCCAACCCACCTTCCTGCAGCTCCCCTCACATCTGCTGCCATTTCCCTTGATGCTGTGGCTGAATTGTCTGTGTGCCTGGCTAATGCCAGCCCTCCCCTGGTGCCCTGGATTCCTCTTATCACTGATTCAAGGACACAGTCTAGCAGTTCTCTCTCTCTGTCTCTCTCTTTCTCTTTCTGTCTGTTTCTGCCTCTCTCTCTGTCTGTCATGATCCAATTTTTCCCCAACTGAATCCTTTACATCAGCATAACGATAACTATCATTTTCCCAGAAAGAGACAGGGGAAGGAATCTGCCTTTACCCCATATCCCTTCCAGCTTACCACCCATTCCTTTGCTCTTTATGGCAAAGCTCACATGAGTTGTGTGCTCACAGGTTTCGATTCTAAGCATCACATTTTGTTTTGAAACTCACTCTTGCTTCCACTGCTCCATGAAATGCCATGGTCTAGTTGGTCTGTGACTTCATAGTTTTTATCTTACTCTCTTTCCTCCTCGAAATATCTTTTATTCCACTTGGTTTTCAG